TCAAATAAAAACGAATCTAATAAAAACGAACGGAACAACAAAATGGTCGTTCTATACTTTCCAGCTAAAAGTTGGAAGTGGAGGTTGTAAAATGCAGAAAAGCGGCATGTGTGCCACAAATAGTAAAAAAGATATCGTAAATTCTGCATCTGAGGACGAAATTAGCAATGACCCTGATGTAAAAGAATTCGAGCAAATGTGGAATAACTACGTCAATACTGTGAGTTAAATTACTTCTCCTGCCTTATCCTCCATTTATTTATCTCAAAGTATTGTTAAAACTGAAACTTAAATTGCTGGTGGTTTTTTGAGTGCTCTTACTCAACTGACATAGGTGTTACGAATTGATATTATAGAAGATCCTCATTACAGGAAGAGACTCCAGAGTCGACAAGAGAATATGCTAAAAGTATAAAAGCTCTCTTCGGGATCAAACCCCCTACAGAACATCGAGTTTAATTCACTCTAGTCCTTCACAATATTGTATTTGCTATTACATAATTTTGTGCGACTTATCAGGTATTGCCTTTTGTCCAAGTGTGCTTCTTTCCACAAATAGATTATAGTCAGGTTAATAATTCTACAATATATTCTGATTTTTTTCGTCCACGTGAATTTGGAGGTCTTTAAATGAGTGGTAAATGTTGATATCTTTTTTACTTTTTGTGGCACACATGCCGCTTTTCTGCATTTTACAACCTCCACTTCCAACTTTTAGCTGGAAAGTATAGAACGACCATTTTGTTGTTCCGTTCGTTTTTATTAGATTTTATTTTATTTCTACCGCTTCAATTTGTTAGCGTTGTTCTAGAGTTGTTGTGTATTTCAAGTCATTGAAAGTTATTCTGTTCTTTTGTTCTACCATTTGCAGTGCTGCAATCGAGGCTTACCTAGCCTTAAATCAAAACAACTCTGACTGTTTACCAAATGGTTCTTCAGAATTCTTCCATTAGGGAACTATCAACGCGTGCAAATTGCTTAACAGTGTGATCAGGTTCCACTAGTAATAGTAATTTTACCGAATAAAACTCTTAGTTAATCGCTCAAATTATTACGCCAACCAAACCCATGCTCAACTTTTTTTGTCAACATGCTGTTGTGATCCGGCCAGTTCCTGTCCTCCAAAAAATCCCAACCCCATTTTTTACAAGATTGTAACAAATGCCAGATAAACGTCACCCATGCTACATGTTTGAGTTCTGAAGCCCTATCAAACCAGGATCCTAGAGGAAGAAATGGTATAGGTTTTCATTTCCACTTGTATACGTTACAAAACTCGATGCTCATGCTGTTAGGGGAATATTGAAATAGTGAGCCACTTACAGAAGCCTTAGGGAGGGAAGAGAGGACGTGAGCACCCTTACATTCCTGGCGTTCCTCATTTTTTCTCTTCCTTTTCTTATACAAGGACGGTATGATCTTTTCACTAGACGTTGCTGGAACAAACATTACCTGTGATACATTCACACAACCAGCTCTTAAATTTATTCACAATGATTCTTAAAACATTCTGTGCGTTTTTATTAACGTCAAATAATTATTACCCGACAC